ACCTGTGAATCAGCTGGCAATCAGCTGACTGCTATTTAAACTGGGACCTGACCTTCAGTCTCTGTCTGAGTGTTGTCCAACTGTCGTAGTGATTGCCTTGCCCATCTGTAAGTCTCTTTCATTATTGTTAGCACAAAGATTTCAAATGTTAGCTGTGGTTACCTGTGGAGAGTGTTTTGCATGGCTGAGAGAAGAGATTCTGTCCTGGGAACACTGGAGATCAGATGCTGGATTTTGTAAATACAAGACTTTTGAACTAAGAACTGCTGAAAGACTTTATAAATAGCACAACTCTCCTGCACTGTAAATAAAGCCACTGCAATGTCATTGATTTCATAATAAATATTAAAGCTGGTCAAATAATACCAGTGAAAGCCATTTAAAACTATTTATATTGTTCTATGAGAGAGAGCGAGAGAGAGAGAAACACACACACACACACACCTGGTCTTGCCCCCCCCCCCCCCCCCCCCCCTCTCTCTCCACCACTTGGCAATGGCCAATTTTTTTTTTTTATGTTTGTGTAATGTTAATCCACCAATGTTGTTGGTTGTTCAAGCTCTTTAAATGAAATTATATTATTAATGTTAGAATATAATTTTGTTGTTTTTCATTCATATTTTGTTTCATTTTCATCAAATTTAATGTTTTACAATATAAAACAGAAGAAAATTTTAAAGCATATTAATTTTCTTTGATTAAGTTGGCAAATTACTGAAAATTTTCTGAACAGAACATTTTGTGCTTGAATGCTTGATTAATTTCTGATAAATCCAGTCTGCCAGCTCAAATGTGGGTATAAAATGTGAATTCAGTTTGAAATTCCTCCTCATTTTAAAATGGGAACATGCAGAGAGCTCTTTGAAAAGGGAATAGTCTACATTGAAGCACTTTGTGATGCTGTGATGGTCTTTGAGACAAATAGAGCAAGACTTCAAGTGTTCTCACAGTGTGGTCAAGTGTGCTTTGGAGTCTGGCCCTTACAGAATGCACCAAGGAAGAGGAAGAAATGAAAGCTGACTGAAGCAGATCTCAGGCACCTTAAGACTTTAAGTAGTATAGACAGAAGGAGGACCACTGCTGCTTCAGGCAGCAAAAAAGGTAAATGTTTTTAGATCATATTATAAGAAAGTCTCCAGACTGACCATAAGCAAATGAATGAATGAACAAGGCTGAAGGGAAACTTAACTTCTAAGAAGCCATTATCTGTGCAATGTCACAAATTGCACAGATTGCAAACATCCACAAAAATTTTGATGCTAGCATAATATAATGAACAAAAAATTCTAGCAAATCACCTTGGTTCATCAAGATGTAGACTGAAATGGATTGCTCATGGGTTTATATACCAACAAGAGAATGACCCAAAACATATTTCAAAACTGTGCACAAACTATGTGAAAAAGGAATCTAGAGAACTAGAACTGTTGGACTGGCCAAGTCTAAGTCCAAACTTGAAAAATATTGAGCAGATTTGAGATTTGGTGGATTCGAAGACAGGTTGGACAAAAGTTCCATTGGGAAACTTTGTGGGACAAACCAAAAACTATTTGTTTTTGACAGATTTTTAAAATATGTATTTTCCTGTTTTTATGACAGGTGGTTATCTATCCATCCAGCACATAACAGCAGGGTGCAAGATGCTAGCAGGCAGGGCATACATGGAACGCCATAACCAAGTGATTTGGATAGTATACAGGAACACCTGTGCCAGGTATAGCAAGGATGTTCCAAAGTCAAAACGGGATTTGCATTCTCAACGACCAAGGTAAGTTTCTGTGGAACTTCCAGATACAGACGGAAAAACCGGACATGGTAGTGGTGGACAATCAGAGGAAGACAGTAATAGTGATAGATGTAGCGATACCGAATGACAGCAACATCAAGAAGAAGGAACACGAGAAGTTGGAGAAGTACTAAGGGCTCAGAGAAGAGCTCGAGAAGATGTGGAGGGCAAAGGTAACAGTGGTCCCAGTGGTAAACGGGACCCCAAGCTGGGCAAGTGGCTCCAGCAGATCCAGGAACAACTGAGATCTCTGTCTAGAAGAGCAAAGTCCTACACTGTAAAAAAAATCCTAATATAAAAGTATTTTACTGTGTATTTTACAGTTTTGTTCTGTTCTTCTAGAATATCATTAAATTTACATAAATGGACTGTGATTTCACATTTTAAATGTAAATTAACGTAAAATCACTGTAATGTAATAAAACATAATTTTCTTGTTGTCTAAATGTATCTGTCTGTACATATATGCATATTTAGATTGTTAAAATACATTCACAAATGTATCATGATTTCACAAATATTTGTCCGTTATTTGAAAGATTGAACTGTTAAATTCAAATGTAATGCTATGGAAAAATATATAAAATCATCATTGATCACAATCTTTTTCTACAGAATACAGAGTAAGTATGTATCTGTCAAGGTAAACAGGATAAGGTTCATCACAATCACCATCTTATGTTGGCATATTTAAATTATACATAAACTGATGTGGATGTCATTTCTTCTTCAACTGAAGGGCAAAATATAAAATTAAGGGAACAATTGTAATAATTCATATACTTAACGTTTTCTAATCTAGTATTTGACTTCTGTGGAGCAGCTGTAGCCCATTAGAGTTAGTTAGTGAGTTTTAAAAATGTTAGTAAGTGTAATTTTTTACGAAGCCCCATCTTCTCATTTTTATACTAATGTAACCCCCAGTTCTGCGCTTAATGAGTATTACTACTTTCAAAGAGACCTTTCTATTCTGGCGCCATAGGTTCTTATTGGATTGTGTATAATTTAAAACCTGAAATGAATGAAATTCTCATGGACTCAAACAAAGGACATGTCTTTGTGCTTGTCCTGTTAGGTCACTCTGTAGCATTTGATACTGTTGTTCACAATATTTTTCAACATAAATTTAGATTAAACTGTTAATCTCTGTTAAAATTGTTAAAGAAAATACATTCCAATGGTTTAAATTGTATGTACCTGATAGATTTTGTTCATGTAAGCTGATAGTCTTCTCCACAAAGTTTGTCATGGAGTTCCACAGGGTTCTGTGCTGGGATCCATACTTTTTTATATTATACATGCGTCCCTTAGAGAATATTATCAGAAAACACTGCATACATTTTTATTGCTACGTAGATAATACCCAGTATGATTCATTTTCGAAGCCAGATGACACAAGTCATATACTTTGGCTACTGGCATATTTTAAAGACATAAGGATGTCCCATAATTTCCTTCCAATATTCAGACAAAACTGAGGTTATTATATGTTTAATTGCATTCTGAATCTGGTTGGCATTACCATACCAGGATAAGTCATATATAATGTCATAATGTGCATATTAAACAATTATGTAGAACTTGTTTCTTTCTTCTGCACGATATCTCTGTCTTATATCTGCATTCATTATTTTTATGCTGGACTATTGTTTTTTATCGTTATCAGGTCATTCTTAAAGTTCACTAAGCCCCCAGTTAATCCAAAATGCTGTTGCCAGAGTACTGACAGGGATGATAAAGCGAGTTCATTCTTGTCCAATATTAGCTTCTCTTCAGCGGCACCCAGTTAAATCCTTCAACTTTCAGCAGGCCTCCTTCCTGTGGAACCAGCTTCCAGTTTGTTTTCATGAGACATACAGCCTCTCTACTTTTAAGAAAACTTTCCTTTTTTAATAAAGCTAACAGTTAAGGCTAGACATATGACCCGTTATGTAGCTATAGGATCAAAGTCCTAAGAGACTTGATGCGATGAACTAAGCAGTTCTTCACCATTCAGCTCTCACTCTCCCCACATATTTATATACCAGTGGAGCCATATAACTACTTTTTAACTTTTTTTGATAGATAACCTGGCATTCCCTGAGCCCTGGCTCTGCCAGAGGTTGTCCTTTCTACAACTGCAAACTTGTCTAGGGGTTGCTTGATTGTTGAGGTTTTCTCCAGAATAATGTAGGCTTCTTACCTTACAATGTGACTGTTATTGTGATTTGGTACTAAATTGAACTTAAGTGAACTGAAATAACCTTAAGCAGTTCAAATTTTCTTTTCGTCTGTGTTTATTATAGCCTTCAACACCCATCTCAAAGTAAATTCAAAATAAAGTCCTTGTACTTGTATTTTCATTCCTCTCTTCCTTAACTTATCGGGATCCTTGCAAAACACTGACATATGTTCAAGAACCAGTATTAATCATCTTTGCATAAAGAAACAGAAAATTTTCTGTTTGGTTGCAACCTTAATTCTCACAGTTTCTAAAACTATATATCAGTGAAGAAGTTATCAGAGGCCTGTAGAGCAAACCTAAAGACTGAGTCAGGCAAGTGTGGTACTGTCAGGTTTATCCTTTGGTTTTCAGGGTAAACACAAAGGTTATCTTCTTAATGGGTACACCGCCATGGTAAGATATGCTGCAGGCCTAATATGCTCTGGTGCATGTTATCCTTTAGAAAAGACACGAACATGTACAAAACCACAACATAATTACCAATCAGTTCTTTCCAACAAAATCCCTAGAACTTCAGTATTTAGGTAGTAGAAAGGAGTGTAGTTCTAGAGATAGTATTTGTCTTTATCTGACAAGCATCAATAAGAAATGGAGATTCTTAGGGAACAACGGCATTCCCTTCTTTTTAAATCATACATTCTTATGTACCAACTTGCAGATGTATTATCTGTTTAACATCTTTCAATATTTTTAATATAGTCTCTTCATTTGTAAATTATACTGCTTTGCTGCAAGTAGACTAGTCCGTGTCTATGATTAATCAAATTGCACAGTTTTATGTGACCAGACTCATAAAAAGAAGAATCTGGGTTGACTGATCCACCTTCAGTTACTGATGTTGCTGTTGTTTGAATAAGTGACTCGAAATAAGAAAAAGATATCCTGGGTATCATGAACTTGCTTAGTAATGCTGGCCCCAGCTGTGATACAAACACAGCTGCATTCTTGGCATCTTATCCATCAAATGTTATAAAATTAAGTTAGACTGACCAGAAAACTCTGTCCTTTGTCACTCTCTCCTGCAGTAATGTCCACTTGCGGCCCAGATCTGCTGAAGCAAAGAGCTGGACAAAAAAAACAAAAAACCCCACACAATTAGACAGAAAAAAGCACAATTTCCATGTAGCATAATGTATCTCCAGATTATTGCCAGCTGTTTATTTTACAATGGAGGTCACTATAGAAAATTATTCATCCAATCAATTTACTACATTTCATACATTAAAACTGAGCTCACATATTAATCATAACAGGCTTGGCAGCCGTGTGTGTCAGCGTGACAAGGTGTGTGCATTGAGTGTGTATTAGCTGACACACACACACACAAACAACACTTGCACCTTCTCATTCTGCTCAGCTCCTGCCTATCTCACTCATGGTCATCGGAAAATAAATGTAATCAGTGACGACAAGCTAATCCTAAAGCACATTCTTTTGTCGCTGTGAAAAAGAGAAATGAAGGTTGACCTTGATGTAAATATGTGTCTGCCCTCACAAACCGTAATTTGAAAATGATCCTCACATCATTCTCCAGCTAAATGATTTTTTTTGTTCTGTTTGAATGGATTCCTCGTTTCCATCTGCAGCCTGCCCATATGGAACAGATTAAAACCTAATTGAATTTCTTGCTTAATTATGTGTAAATTATTGAAGTGGAGGAGGAGTTGAGCCAATTCAAGCTTATTAACTATTCAAACTTATGTCTCACCTACTTAAATATCTTGAGCTTCATTTCCATTTTGGTTTTCAGGGTCTTTTTATTTAAGCCCAAACACCACTTTTTACATTGGGTTTTAATTACTTAATTAAATGTACAGCACTTTGTGTCAGCTGTGGTTGTTTTAAAGTGCTTTATAAATAAAGTTGATGATGATGATGATGATGTTAATTCAGTCGGTGCAAAAAATAAGGACTTTGATGAATACAAGTAGTTGTTTGGTGGTTTGTGCAACAAAACAAAATGAAATTACATTTTGTTGATCTTGATAGATTGTTAAAGTGTTAATTTATTAGTTTTTAAAAAGGTATTATCCAAAAAAATGAATTCATAATATACAGATAAGTACAAAGACTGTGGCAGATAAACTAAACTAAACCATACTGATACCATATGAAAGCAAACTGCCCTTTAATTCAATATTTTTAGTGTATGATTGGTGAATTACCCAGGTGTGGTGGTAGACAACAACGTGAAATATAGCTGCGCTGTCTCCAAAAGTACCTGGATGATTACCTGGATGAATACCTTACCTGTATGATTGAGTATGCATCAAGACATAGCTGTGCTGTTTCCACATAGGCGACTATAGTCAGCTAACATAATAACATAAAATAAAATACTTTGCTCTCTACGACAAAAATATCGCTATCTGCACTTTGGGCTTCCGACCTTTGTATATCACTGCCAGATCAGATATACTACCTTTGCACTACCTTTGTGTTATCACCATATCAGCTGTTAACATTAGCTTTGCTCAGAATTGGCCATTCCACATGTGTCCCCAAGTGATACATCTTTAAATTCCTTGGCTCTGCTTTGATCCCCTAACTAAAGCTACTGCTATAAAACAGTCAAATGCAGTGAGATGAACATCTCTCATTGCTTATTAATAAATCTGTTGATTGAGTGTTTCTAACCTACATGAGAAAGCAGCATTTTTGACCAACACTATTTTCATCTTGCAGGTTCTCTACACTGCTGCAGGCTTGAATGTCTTATCCACTGAATCATCTCATCTCTCGGCAAAAAGACATAAGTAATTCATTGGACAGCAATACGATGCCCTGGCTTTCGTGTTGGCTCAGACTGGAGTGACATGTTACAACTATGAAAGCAATTAACTTAAGCAGGATTAAAAACAACATAAAAAGCCATGCAGCTGAATTATTATGTGCTCTACAAGTGTGCATTGACGGTCATTAACCAGCACCTCAGGATCCTCCATCATAGTTTAATTGTTTCTGTCTACTGTTAGTGCTTTTAATGATAGTGAAACTAAAAAAATATATAATGAAAAGGTTTTACATAAAATCGATATTAATCTATATTAATTGCACATGAAGTGAAATGTTTGTCTTTATATGCCTGTTTTGTTTTAATTTGGGTGATTATGGGTTTTGCTGTTCAAAATTAAAAAGTATGTGAGATAATGGATTATCTCGACTTAATATTTCCTTCTAAATTTGAGTAAATTATGTGTGTATCTCAGTCTAGTCGAGTGCAAGCAACTACATTCGAGGCTGCTGACTTGACAATTGTTCAGATGACCTTCACTGGGCAATCCACAAGGACAGTAAGCCCCATAAGGTCATTGCTGAATGTCTAGTCATTCGCTGAGTGCTGCATAGAATGTATGGAAAATTGGAACGCTTTGAAAGGATGAGTGGGGTAGGGAGAGGTGGACAAGAAACAGGGATAACTGCAGCCATTAGATGTTTGCTGAGAAAAGTCAGTGCAAGATCTGACAGCAACGTAATAAATATACATATTTAAACTTTTACCTTAAAAATAAAATTTAAAGCAAAAGTTTACATTCAGATTTCTATATACAAATAGATTTGTGGGTTATTTATAATTAAAAACATTGTTTTATGATATACGTTTTTATTTCTTCTTAGAACTTGCCAAAGGGTTTCCAACTAGAAGCCAAGTGTGACTACACTACAGAGGTGTGGACTCGAGTCACATGACTTGGACTCGAGTCAGACTCGAGTCATTAATTTTATGACTTTAGACTTGACTTGAAAAAATGTTCTAAGACTTGTGACTTGACTTGGACTTTTACACCAATGACCTGGGACTTGAATTGGACTTGAACCGGTTTACTTGAAAAGACTTGATATTTCACCCCAAATATAAAATTTAACATGCATATTATATAGAGATTGAAAATGTGACGTCATTCAGGGGTAAACCGCAAAGGATTCTGGGAACTCGTGGCAAGCGGTACTAGCACATGCAGGCTTTCAATTGAAATCAGTCACACAGCGATAAAAAGAAACACAAAAAATGGCAAGAAGCTGTTGTATTATTAACTGCAATAGCCGGTCGCATGACAGCCACGGGAAGCCGACGGGTAAAGAGATCGGTTGTTATCGGATTACGTCGTTGAAAAGAAATTGTTCGAGCCATGTTTCCGAAGTAACAAAGACGTGACGGATGGCCTGGATTGCAGCCATTCAAAGACCAAATATAACGTCCCAGAACACTCCAGCTCACAGGTTAGTCTGCTCCAAGCATTTACACGAAGGCAAGTCTTCTATTGTAGTTAATACGTCATTTTCATAACATAATTGGTGATATAGGTTACAAGCAAGTCTGGCGCTGAACAGAAATTGTCGCGCTATGCTCCTTTATTTATTGTGCATAAACAGTGAATTGTCCTGACACAATATTGCGTTTCGCCTCTGTTATTATGGTACATTGACAAAAATATATACTTTTATTCACAGGATAAAACAGGTTTTTTGTATCACTAATTGCCCAGTACGATTACAGCATACAATATTGTTGTCACTGCTACATTTCTGTGATGCGTACCAGAAATTATTTCCACTACTAATTAATTACCCTTGAGCTCAAAGGTCCTATTAATAAACGGTTAAGGAATGTGTATTTATGAAGACAATTTGTGAGACTGGTAAACTTATGATACGTACGATGGTCTTTCGTTCTACACGGTGCATTTCAAGGTCCTGTACCCATCCGGCGGTAAACTGTACCTGGGCTTGTTGCAGTGACCTGAAGTTACTAAACTTCATGAGTGTGTGCACTCACTCCAAGAACCGTATGATTATAAATATGCATATAAATATGCTACGATGAGATAGCTGACTTCATCTAACTAGCAAATGTTGTCCAGGCTACGTTGGTGATACAGTTTTTTTTAATGTGTATGATATTTTTGTCATGCGATTTTAAAGCCGGTCCTACAACCGCATCCAAGAATAACATGCAGCTTATCTCAGAACTGTCGGTGAAAATTATTCTTGGAGCTAGGTTTAATTGAGCTGCATTTTAAAGAGGTGCAATTTCACAATTTGTGTATATTTTCTAAGTTCACTATTTTGTCATGTGTTGAGAAAAACACAGATTTTAAAATTACATGGTCTAATATTTACATTTAACATATAACTGCAACATGCTTTTTTCATTTTTTTTTTAAAGACTCGAAAGGACTTGAAATTCAAAGTTTCAGACTTGTGACTTGACTCGGACTTTTACACCAGTGACTTGAGACTCGACTCTGACTTGCCTGACATTACTTGAGACTTGACTTGAGACTTGAGGATAAAGACTTGAGACTTACTTGAGACTTGCAAAACAATGACTTGGTCCCACCTCTGCTACACTATATCGTCACTGTGTTTGGATATGGTTATTGTTTAATTCATTTCACTTTAATTCAAGAATTACAGAACAGCATTACTGTGGTATGAAAAAACAACATATGACGTTTTTTTTCCTGAGTTTAGTCGTAAATCTTGAGATATAATGCGCTGCTGCACGACAAAAGATTTGGTAACGTAACACCAACGATAACTCCTTGTGCATTTATTTCAGCTACAGAATCAAAAGTTTCTTTTATGTTTGTGTCTACAACCCACCCTGCCCTCCTTGCAATAGGCCAGCAGCTTGTCTTCTTCCTTGGGGTGGAAGATGAGCGTGTCAGGTGTGAAGTCGATGGACTGCCGCTGGAAGGAGGAACCTTCATCTGTGCTGATAAACAGCATTTGATCTCGTTCATTTATAGAGGAACCCACCAGAATTACCTGTAAGAGATGATAGAGAGAACAGCGAAGAAGAAAAGAAAGAAAAAGAAGAAAAAAGAAGGTCACAGGTGATACGGTCCAAAGCATCCTGCAACATATTTGGTGCTAAGTCAGCAGTCTGTTGAAAATATCCTCCTCATATCAGCACTTGTCCATGTTAATTCACCTGCATGCACTGAAAACCTGATAAATATGAATGCATTCACTGCCATGCATGCACATTCATTCAAGGCCATCCTCTGGAACAGAAAAACTTTCCATCAACCTTACAGGCGGCTTAAACCATGGCAACACTCTATTGATTATCTATTCAGACTTTTATAGCTCATAAAGTGAAAACATTAAATACAGGGGACACCAGGAACTGCCAACCCACCAATCACAATTATGTCCCAGACACTTGCAATAAGTGTCTCAATAGGGGAAATCGATAGGAACTAATGAACCAGTCATGTTCATTAACAGTGCGTGAGAGGTGGGAAGCTATCCCATGAGGGTTTTTGGTTGTTTACAGCAACTCCTTATAAAAAGTGTCCTCAGTCAGAGAAATGCAATAAAGTAACTAGCTGTATTGTTACTTAACAAATGTTTCAGCAAAGATTAATGGATGCAAACTAGAGATATAATTTTAATGAAAGGGATATTCAACATGTAATGGCTATTTAAAAAAATAAGTATTATGTGTGGGCAGAAACAATTGAGCAAACAAATAAATCAACTCATAGGAAATTGTCAAGGTACTTCCAATGCTTTTAATTCTTATTTTAAGACTGCATGCTTTTGTCCACGTACAAAGAAAGAAAAAAATCCCTTTTTAATGCCTATATTCCTCCTTCACTTCCAAAATAACCTTAATATTCAACCTTGCCGAAAGCAATTTGTATTCAATGGTATATTTAATAGTGTTTTCAAAGGTTACAGTAGCTCCTTCTAGAGGGAGTTCAGTACTTTAGTATTAGAAAAGAAAAGCTTCATATTTGTATGCTTATACTTGGGTAAATTTATTACACAAACCTGTAATAAATGCCTCTTACACAGCATGTTTGGCTCATCAAAGCGGGGAAAGCATAGTTTTAATAATGTTCACTTCAGTGTCCCAGTAGGCCAAGAAACTTATGGGTTATCTGCCTGATCTGGATTTCTTTCAGGGCCTTGTGTTACAGAAGATACTTTTAGTAATTTTTGAATAACCAGTCCATCGATCTCTTTGGTCAAAAATCAGTCACACCTGCTGGAGAGCATCCACACACTTGATGCTTTGACAACTAGACCTAAACTCAGAAATCGAATGGTTCCTTTAAATCGCCAGAAAACAAAAAACAGCAGGAAGGATGGTTTTTTTTCAGCAGGAAGCCAAAAAAAACCCAAAAAGATCAAATAAAATAAAAAAGTATACTGTACAAGTTTAAAGCTCTTTAGGGCAGTGATTACACAAAATCTTGAGAGAGTACTTGAGAGATTTCTGTCTCCCTATCAAAGCAGGTAGGGAATAACCTGGAAATTTCAGGTTACATATTTGCTTCTAGAAGAGCATTGCTCATGTTCACAGAAATCTACTCCAGTAGTATTTCCTCTTTGTCCTTGCTGTCGATCTTTTCTTTTATTATCCTTTAATCCAACCTCTGTTTTGTTTTTATCTAAAGAAACACAAAGCTGGTGTAAAACCAGTGGCTATGTCCATCTTTTATACTGTCCGTTTCTAGAAAAAGAAAAAAATCATTACTACTTTTATAGCTAAACTAACACTGTGCTATTTTATTTTTTGTCCATATTTAATGTGTTCAGTGATTTGTATTATGTATGCCTATTTTCTGAACACATTTCTGGCAAATCTTCACCTGTCATTTCTTTTTATAGTCATCAGAACAGCTTCAATATCACAAAAGCCCTTACCCTAAACCTATAACTTCTTGATGCATGCTCAACTTTTCTCCCACAAAAACGCTAGGTCCGGATGAACAGAATCAACTTTTGGAGACTAAACCTATAACCATAACCTAATTGTAAACCTGACGCTAAAACTTGAGGGGACTGAGATTTTGGTCCCCTTCAGGGCTGTTGGTCCCCAGAAAAATGTCTAAACAGGTACACACGCACACACACACAACCCCTATTAGGATTCTCATCATGACTTCAATTAAGGAGTGTGTGTAGAATAACACATCTTTCTGGGTTGATACTTGAGAACTGTGTGTGAGTTGGGTGTAATTTCCGTTAGCACCACAGTCAATTAAAAGCTTGGTGTTTGTTTTGCAGGCAGAGCATGGTCAACAAGGAAGAGGAGTAGAATGATGATGTTAGAACAGCAGGAAAGAAGACTTTATTTCTTATAATACAGTTAATTTAGAAAATGTCAGCTGGGATTTGCTCAGTGTATTTGTTGTTTACAGCTAAAAAGCTCCACTGAAAAGCTCAAGTTCACCCTGTGGATGTAGGAAGTCAGCAAACAATTACTATCCTTAATTTCTACCAAAATGACCACTCCCAATCTCATATTTACATGTGTTTACAAAGTCTTTTGGCTTCTATGGTATAAAGCCTGATGACAGCTGTTTTGGCACACACTTTTGCCTCATGTCCCTGTGGGGCAGGTCCATCAATCGGTCAGCCCTCCTGTGCCAACATGTCATCATTTAAAGGATATCACTCGGTTTAACCTAGTTAAGCTAAGACAAACACTGAACATCCTCAGGACACACACGTACACAGTCCCACCTCACATATAGACATCATATCAACAAATGGAGACAAATGAGATGACAAATGCTTGAAAAAGAAGCATAAAGGTGCACCGGATCTTATGAATATGATTGTGTCAGTTGGTGAAGTTGCATAATCTCACCCAAAACAACCTGAAACTCGCTACTCAGAGGTACTGAGTACTATAAGCTTAGCAAAAAACAAAAAAAAGTTACAAATAAATAAACAATAAAAATCTGTACTACCACAAAGGTCATGCTCTTGATGTGTTTGCATTTGTAACTAGATTTCTGTAGTTTTAGCAACAGTGAAACACAGATCATCATGCAACGAAGCTAAACACAATTATACTTTTAGATAGTATTTTTAATTATTCGTTTTTTATGAAATGCTTTTCATTCAGTCTTTAAATTTGTTTGCTTGCTTTGTCACAATGTCCACTACTAAGCCTATGGAAGCTTTTGACTAACCTTGATGCCATCAGATTATCTTTTTTTTTGTCATCAGAGATTTAAATGAAAACACACTGTTTAACTGAAAGTATCTGTTTGCACAGGAGGTGTGGGCTGTTAGTAGTCAGGCTGAGGAGGGGAAATGCTGCTCAATTGCATCATGGGACTAGAAACAGAATGAGAGCGTTTTTGAAATCTAGTAGGAGACACACACAGCACTTTGAGTGCTCAGACAGAGTAGAAAAGCGCTATATAAGAACAAGTCATTACCATTACCATTTACACACTGAGGACTCCAAGTTGAGATATTTCTAAGCTTAAAGTGTATTACTAAATCACTTGAGAAATCTTTGCAGTTCCATTTGATTGTACTGGTCTTTTTGAGACTTTAGGTGAAAGGAGTTTAAAATTAAATTCAAAACCTTAGCCAAAAAAATAAACCTTTTCTATTCTATGCACTATTGTGAGTTGTGCATTTTATGTGGTACTTAAACGTCTTGTAACCCCTCCATATTCATGCATTGTTCCCTTATTGGGTTTCAACCTGGGAAACTCAAAATGGGACAAAATTGCTAAAACGAATCTTAAAATTGTTTTATCTTTTATTATTCACCACAGAAACCACAGAAAATAATGTAGGAGTTTGTAAAAGATGAGTGTGCCACTGATGCACTCATCCTCATGGCGCAGTAACCTGACTTACCAACAAGTGGCAGTCTTGTCAAACTGTAGGCTCGGAGGAATGCCTTCAAATCTTTACAGAGTTGAAACTGAGCTTGACTAACCAACTGACAGATAAGAAGGTGAACTTTTCAGTGAGGCTTCAAAAAAATGGGATCGGGGGAGGGCAGACAGACAATTCTTTTCGCACAAGTTATGATCCTCCACAATCAAAGGACTTTGATACATTCTTCCTTCATAACGATTTCCTCCGAGTAATAGCTCAAGCTTAGCAAAGCACAGTGCTCCTATTGTGCATGGCAGATAAAAGCAGACTCTAAACTTCCTGTGTCTGCTGTGGAGACTTCTGGGGTGTGACACATTAAGGGGACTTATAGGAACAAAACTCAGCTCTTTTTAATCTGCAAAACGGCTTAAACACCAGTGTGGCTTTGGGAAGAGCTTGCGTAATCTATGCGATGTTTGATAATCTTTCGATCACACTCTCTGATGTGTGTCAACAATGATCAGTTCCTGCTGTCAATTATAAAGCAGCACAATCTTCTTGGCAGCTTAAAACAGCTTATAAAAGAGTGCTGGTGTGCAGTTGGAACATGAACAACATGAAGGTCTATGCCCAGAGAAGAATGAGAATGTGCATTTGTTTTGCATGACACATCTTTGAACAGCTGAAGGGTTTTATGGCTGCAGGCTGATATGGCTGATGAAAACCTCAAGTCTTGAGAATGGAGAAAGCTTTTGCACGATACAAGCACACCGGCACAAATGCACACCTATGCAAATGAATTGTGTACTTACTGTACATGTGCACAGAAAAATGAGAGAAGTCGATGAAGGATACCGTTTGAATTGTTATTTTGCAAATATTATTTGTGAAAGTAATAAATCAATGAAGAACTCCGCGCCATGTTCAAGGTAATTATCTCAAAAATAGCTTTCAGTAGTCTTGTTATCCTTATATTCAGCCTGCTATCTATAATTCACAATACATTTTTGTTTCTCGTAACTTTGTTATGAACTCGTAGGAAAGATTCAATGGCCTGCCATGTAGCCATGTTTTGGAAAACTGTAAGTGAACCTTCCCAGATTTCAGCAATGAGTGACAGACAGATATAAAAGAAGATAAACCTAATTAGTTAGGACCTAGTCGTATAAATCAGAATGTTT